TGCTCCTGGACATCCCTGTGCCGAGCCCCCGCCAAGGACGGCCACAGTTGTGCCACAACTCGCCACCTGTCATGAGCCGTGGCAGGGCGCAGCAGCTCCGCAGAGCTGTCCCGTCCCTTTGGATGGGATGGAGAATTGGTTAAAAAATCCTCATAGCTCCTCCTGGAGCTGTCCCGTGGCTGAGCGTGTGCAGTCGTAACACTGGCTGCAGGAAAACCAAAAAATAAAATGTTTTGCTATCACTGAGCATGTAACCCCCAGTCCTCCAAGTCTGTCTTTCATTAACGGGTGAAATGAACCAGCTAAAAAGTTTAAGAGAGAATTGATCATGGTCAAGGTAACAAACGCAGGAGATGCCCTGCAGCTGCACGGTCAGCATGCAAGATGCAAACTTGGGAGCTCAGACCTGGTTTCAGTCACTAAGATGAATAGGAACCCATGGAATGGGGAGTTCCTAGGTTAGACAGGATACATGTCAAATAACGGTACCTAAATCGGGGACCTGAGTGATACGGAGGATTACAGGGGCGCTTTTGAAATGGAGCTTAAATGGCTTTCACAGACTGCAAGCTCTGTTATGGCTGCAGTAAATTTGAGCCAGGGAAAGCCTTTAAGGAAGTATCAGAAAGATGACAGTTTTCATTTGGGAAAAAAGTGGGTCTGGGGTGGAGATTAATCTCAGTTGCCAGTACAGAAATGGCTGTGAATTTCTGTTTGGAGCTATTACATAGAAGAGACACTGCTTAAATATTCTGTAAATTCTTTAAGAGATTTTCTAACAGTATTCTGTAGATTATACTAATTCAAAATTCAGCGCCTGATTTTTCCCAAATGCCTAATGCTTAATCCCACTTCTGTCATTGGGTTATTTATTAACACTGGGTAAACAAAGCTTTATATATTTATGCATATCATTCCAATTGGAACCTCATTTTTTCCAAAATGGAAAAGAATCTATTGCTTTGCATTTTAGTATTGATTCCTACCTTTGCATCCTCAGACTTCTTGCTGACACATGTCAGAAACATCAAGGTAAGTAATCAACTACGTGTGGGTTGTGAGTCTCCCACTCCTCAGAGATTAACTTCTTGCAGTTTATCAGCATTTATCAGAGACTTCATACAATGCTGGCAGTTGGAGCTCTGTCTTCTCTGGTACCCCTGGACACAGGATAAAAGCTGGAACTCAGACTGGTTGATCTCTAATCAGCCTCAGTTTTACAATCAGTTCTGAAGTTCCTCTCTCTTTCTTTTTAAAACATCCCTTTCCTCTGTTTTCCCTGTCATCACCACGTAATGGTGACATGTTTTAGTAAAATATTTAAATGTGTAAAGTAATCAGTGCTGCCAGAGAACCGACTTTGGCACCTGTTAAGGAATACAATGAAAAAGATGGCTCTAGGAATCAGAAAACAGAGCTGTAACATGGCATAAAGATAAATGCCCACAGTCCAAATGACATGGTAGAGTTTTTCTCAAAAGATTTCCATGTTAGCACAACATGAGATACATCTCTCAAAGGAGCCATTCTGGTTTTGACTGGATCTCTGAGTAAGTGCTACCTGATGTTTTGCCTAATTTTCTTTGGTTTTCTTGCTGGCCACTACTCCTCACTTCCATAAATTATTTCCCTCTCTGTCAGTGGCTGTGCACTCTGGAAAGTTACAGAGGGCAAATCTATTTAGGGAGCATTCTGAGTTACTAGGTAGAACAGGACAAAACAATTTATGGTTGATTGCTGTTGATGAGGTTATGATCTTTGCCAAGCCTTTTTCTTTGAAAATCCGGATAGTAACATGCCTAACTTCTAAAAGTCAACATGAGATCTAATGCTGCAAATTGGAAATGCCATGGATTCCTATTATTTAACCATCATGTAGCCCAGATATAATGTAGCTTTTTCCTTCTGATTACTGTAGTGTCTGGAGTTCTCTATGTGTTTTACAATGTTAAAGCCTTTCTAAATGGAAGACTGCCAAAGCTCTGTGCAATGCTCCATCTATGCATGCAGAGCACTATGGAAAAGCCAGCTGATTCTCCCAGTTTTGTTCTGTACTTTATGCAAATGTGATTTGATTGAAATGGAAGAGATTGCTCTGTAGGGTGAAGGTCTCAGTGCCCATCTGTGTCTTGGCCCCTTTGAGCAAGCAGTATCCAATGCTGAAGCATGGCTGGAATTCTGGCTGTCTGGTGACCTTTAAGCTGTCAAAGCTGCTTTTAGAGCCCCAGCTAGGTAGACACAGTTGGCAGACCCAATTCTGCTGAAAATG